GGAGTACCTGTACCACAAGCACCTGGGCAACGAGATGCCGCGTAACAACCTGCTCATCGAGATGCTGCAGGCCAAGCAGACCTGAGCCTGGGCTGGGCGGGGCCGGGGCGGGGCCGGGCAGGTGGGCGGGGCCGCAGCCGCAGCCGCCCCCCCCAGGCCCTCCAGGGGACTGAGTTTATTCTGCCGGCCCAAGAGCCCCACCCTGCACGCCCCTGCCCCTGCGCTCTCGGCAGCCCCGTGTTTTGGAAGGTGGGTGAGGGGGGACGGGGTCTGGTGGAGGTAGGGTGGCCCCCGCTCGGAGGGCCCCCGAGAAGGCGGCTGCTAACCACCCTCTCACCCTCCCCTTGCTCCCCTGTCTGTCCTGGAGTCTGGACGCACAGATCTGGGGAGGAGACTCGGGATTCCCTGGTGGGCGTCCATGTCCCTTGGGTCCCAAGTTGTCCCTTTCCCCTCTCCGGGAAACAGAAGCAGAGGGACGTTGAGGGGGCACCAAGTGGAGGAGAAGAGAGGGTCTCCAGAACTCCCTCCCAGAGACCAGGAGGGCAGCCCTCTGTTCTGTCAACGAGGAGTCACTGAGTTGGCGAAGTTGGTCAGGCACTATGGGGCCTAGAGGACACTCGGGGGCGGGTTAGGACCAAGCCTCCCCAGCCCTTCCACCCCGTCTGACTCGTGCAGGGGAGAACTGTGACATGCTATCTGAAAAGAATTTCTCCGCAATCAGCTCTCTCCATCCCTCTCCCACTGAAGGAGAAGTTTCTATCCCTCTCTCGCCAGGGAGCTAGAACATTCTAGCCCCACCCATAGTTGGCCAGCCCAGGCTAGTATGTGTCTGCAAAGGCTGTAGTCAAGAGGTTTGTGGGTTTGGGGGTTTTGTTTTTTAATCTAGTAATCTAGATACTCTTGGAAAGGTGGTTATGTAGTGGGGGGTGGGGCAGGGAACGGATTTGAGGACTGAGGCGGGGACTTGAGGATTAGCCCCAAGTACAGCCTGTGGTTCCTCTCCAAACACCGCGTGCCAAGGACCCCGTGGGTAGTGCTGGATGTTTCGGTCGGGAGAGGAGCTGTTGCTTGCCCCTCCTTTGATGAACAGCAGGATGGCCTGTCGGGGCTCGGAGTCTGTGTGTGTGTGGGAATACGGGTGAACTTGAGGAGGGTGTATGGGTCTCCAGATGGGGGACACTGTTGATAAGCCCCTTCTGCATTGGCCCCGTCCCATTGGATCCCTTGCTGCAAACCTTTGAAGCTGGGTCTCCGCTCCCTAGCCTCCTCCTGCCCTGTGTCCTGAAGGACACTCTCCAGGGCCAGGCGCTAGGGGAGGCCTTGGCTCTCCTTGGTCCCCGGGCTGGGTGTCCGCCGTCTTTCCTGCTTCCACGTTGCCACTGCAGCTTGTGTTGAGCCTGCCCAGCTGGAGGTGACTGGGCATCCATGCCCCCCTTGCCTCTCACCACCCTGTCTCTGTCCCCGCCCCTGCCCACTGAAACATGTACCCCTGCCAAGGCCAGAGACCCACAGCCCCAAAATGAGAAGTGCCCTTAAGAATCTCCCCAGCCCTTGCTGCCCTGGAATAAATTTTGCAATTAATTTCCAGCTCCCTTTGCCTGTTTACATTCTGGGGCCAAAGCAGAGCCTCCAAGGTGGGTTTTGGTGGTCTGGGGCAGGGCAGTGCTCTGACCGGGATGGGCACGACGGTCAGATAAGCTTTGGTTCAAAACACCAGGCACCGTTGGGGAGCCTCTGGGCCCCATGTCATCCCTGGGATCTTGCCATACCCAGGAGGCCTGGGAGAGGCTTGGGTCTTCCTGGGCCTCGGCCAGAGTTCTAGCCCGGCCGTGCATCTCAACCGCCATCTTGGGAAGAAGGGAGCGGTCATTTCATGAGCACCTACTGTGTGCCATCCCCTCATCTCTCTGTCCCTGCAGTAGCCCAGTCAGGCAGGGGCTATGAATTAGGAGAGGGACTAGGCAGGTGCCCCTCAGTCAGGAATCTGCAGGGACAGATGCAAACCTGGGTCCTTCTGACTTCAGAGGACCGGACCTTTCCTCTCAGCCCCTCTGGCGGCCCTGGGCCTGGGACTTCTTCCTGGTTCTCTTGCCTCGCCCACCACTAGGAGGCAGCAGTGAGCATGGCTGATTTCTGAGGCGAGCTGCCTCTTCTGAGATGGCCTTCAGGACTTCACCGGCTTTGTCTCATTTTGTTGTCCCATCTGCTCTTCAAAGCCACTTCGGTAGGTGGCAGCTCCGGATTACAGATGAGGAAACCGAGGTCCGGGGGGGTGGGGGGTGAAGTGGCCTGTCCAAGATCACACACCAAGAAGGGGCAGAGCCATCACGGCCACCTTCATCATCCCGACCTGACAAGTTCACGCCGGGGCCACTCACGGTCTACTTCAGGCCTCTGCCGATTAGAAAAAAGACGCCCCCTCTAGGGAGAAGTATCCCTAGGCACACAGCTTGGCAGTGGCTTTCATGCAAAGAAAGTGTGTCCCTTTCCCACCTGGCACCTTCAGAAGGGAAGTAGATGCTCTGGTTCCTGCCTCTGGGGAGCATCCAGTCCCATGCGAGGCTGTTTTCTGTCATTTTGTGATCCTGTGTGACCCACCACTAAGAGCCAGCAAAGGTGAGGAAGGAATTGATTCTTCCCCTGGGGCGACAGGAAGTCTTCTCGGGGGAGGTGTCATCCAAACTGGGTTTTGAGGGATGTTGAGGGGTTCGCCAGCTAAGATAAGAGTTGGGGGCAGCATGGGCAGGTGTCTGGGGACCTAAGCTAAGCTTCAGAAGTTACGACAGCCTCCATCCCCGGAATGAAATACCCAGACCCCTGTCTCTGCATTATGGGCACCCCCCCGCCCACCAGGGTAGATTTTGTCCCAGACAGCCCAGGTGGTGCCCAGAGTAGAAACGACACAAGGCTGTGGGGAGCGACTTGGGCCTGGCTGGGTCCCAGGGCTTCTCGTGCAGCCCTGCTCCACCTCCACGCATGTGCACCTCCATCAGGGAGGCTGCTCTGATGCTCCCCGGCTGTGCCACATCCTCTGGCAGCATCTGGGCCAGCCTGAGGTCAGCAGGACAGTGTACGCAGTCCCTGGGCCCCTCCTTCGCCTGGCTTCCACCTCAGGGACCACCCGGTGCCAGGCCCTAAGGCTGCTCACCTTGGCCCGGAAACCAGCTCTACCGAAGAAGTGACCCGGACTCACAGAAGAATCAGAATTTTGCCCCTGGCCACGGAATCAGTGGTGGCAGGACCTGCACCTGTAGCCAGAGTGTGAGCTGGGGTCTCCCCGCAGCATGGCCCGTCACACCTGGAGCCTTCCCCCCTACCCCGGTGCCTTCTCTGAGCAATCTTGCCTGGGGGACTCCCCCTCACGGTGACTGCCACCCCTGGCCCCCATACTACCGCCTGGGGAGATCTTCTCTGAGCCTCCGTTTCTTCCTCTGTACACCAAGGGGTGACGGTGGTCACGGGGCTGAGGGAGGACCCACAGCTCTAAGGCAGGTGGGGGCTCAGTACCAGCCGGGCACACAGTAGGTGCTGGTAAGTGTAAGTGTTGGCGGCACCTACCCTGTTGATGAAACTGGGGCTGTCTTGAGTCCCGAAGACAAAGCGGCCCCTTCCCTTGTCCCACCCTCCCGTCAGCATCCTGTCCCCCTCTCCAGGCCAGGGTGACCCCCAGGGAGGAACGGGTCACTGGAGTACCGTTTATTATGACACCTTCCACGGGGCTGTCAGAACTTCAAGGCAGGTGGGAAGGATGTGCCGGGGACGATCTTGGTCAAAGCTGGGGGGGCCTGAGCTGTGGGGTGCAGCTGTGTTGGCACCGCACGCGGGCAGGGGTCCTACTGGTAGCAGGGGGAGACTGAGGCCGCTGTCTGTCCCGCAGGGGTCCCCGATGGGACCTTTCAGAGCCTGGGGTAAGGTCTGCACACACACACTCTCTAGAAACCTGGGAGGAAGGGGGGGCTGAGCTGGCAGAGGATCATGGTGGGGGTCCCTGGAGGGGTCTGGAAACTGAGGCTGGGGGGAAGCCCTTGGGGGGGATTCTGGCCCCGGGGGACCCTGGGCAATGTCCCCCATTCCCTCTCTCGGACCCTCAGATTCTCTCGAAGAACACCTGATGCCCAGAGGCTTTCAGGAAGGGCGGTGGCTGCCTTGTGAGGGACCGGGGCTGGCAGCCTTCGCTCCCCCGCACCTCGTCTCGGGCCACCTGAGAAGGTCGCGGGGTGCGGAGGGGGAGGGGGCTACGGCGTCCGGAGGGAGGGCGACGCAGGTTGGGGGTCCGGAGGGTGGGGCCGTCGCGGGCCGAGGTGGAAGCGGCTCGTTGCTACGAGCGGCCTTAGCAACGCACCCATTCAGCAGAGACAAAGGCGCTGTCACTTGAGCGCAGAGGCGCCGCTACCGCTCTTGTTCCCACCGGCGCCTCGCCTGCGGGGGTGGGGGGAGGGGCGGGGGCGCGGGGGCTCGCGGGAGCCGGGGCGCTGTCGGCCCCGCGGAAGGCCCACCGCGCGCCGGCCTGCAGGGGGCGCCTCCTGCCCACGTTGCGGAAGGGGGAGCCGAGGCTCCAGGGGACCGGGGACACCAGGCAGGGGAGGAAGCCCGCGGGAGCCTGGGGTCCCACTGACTAGGGTTTCGAATGTGCCTCTGCTTACACCGGTGTGACTGCCCCGGTGCCTCACTTTCCCCATCTGCACAATGGGAGGATAGTTTCCCCGGGTCCCCAGGTTAAAGGAGTCAGCCAACGCGGGGCTTTAGCCCTGAGCCCAGCCCCAGTTAGAGCCAGACAAACAGGCCTCTTGCCCAGGTTGGGAAGGACCCCTTGGCCTGAGGCGGGGTGGTGCCTGGCAGGTCCTCCTACAGCCAGCTGTGCTCTAAGATTGGGGGACTCAGGCTGAGAGAGGCTGACAGTGGCCAGAGGGCCCTGGGTTCCCCTCGGGGCCCCAGCCTCACTCCACTGCCTGCAGGCCCCCATCAGCCCTGTGGTTGGGGAACGGAGCCTGAGAGGGAAGTGCTCGCTTCTCACCAGGTTTGGAAGTCCTTTCCGCCCAGGAGTCATCAGGGTAGGGGCTCTGAGAGCGCTGGGCCTGCCGGGGGCCAGACAGAGCAGGTGCACAGAGGAAGGCAGGCTCCTGGCTCACTGCCCCTCCTGCAGCACCGGCTCTGGGAAGGGGTCCCAAACCTATCCCGAGTGCGCCTCTCCCAAAGAGCACTGCCCTTTCCTGACAGGCCTCCAGTGTGCTAATGGGTGACTTTGGGCACCAGCAAGGAGCAGAGCAAAAGGAAGGGCCCCCGCAAGCTGTGGGAGACCAGGTGCTCTCGCATCTCCAATCGCTTCCACCCTGGTGCAGTGGGGCTGCAGGGGAGGGGGCGTCCTGGGGAAAAGGGGAGCCTCTTGGGGGGGTAGTTGTACCTGACACCTTGAATGCTGTCAGCTCCACAGCCTGAGGACAGATGAGATCGTCAGGGGAGGGGGCCCCCGCTCCTGCTCCCCCTTGCCCTTGGGGCCCTGGGAAACCTTGGTAATGACTCCCCCAACCCCAGTGGCCTTGGCATTCAGGTTCTGCCCGGCGACTCCCAGGGCCCTACCACCTGGTAACTGAGGAATGGGGCTCCTCTGATCTCCAGAGGAAGCCCCCCACCCCTCCCCTAGTCCCTGTGGTTTCCCCTACCCTGTGGGACATACTTGCTAGCACCCTGCCACCCTTGTCCCAGCCTCACCGGCCTCTCAGGTTCTGCAATGGAGAAGGTTGTGGGGATTCTGGGGCTGTGGGTCCCTACAGGAGAAAAACCCTTTTCAGAGACTGAGACAGGAAGCTCACTCTTTGCTCTCCTGCCCTGGACAGGACCTCATTATCAAAGACCCTAAGGATCCACTCAAAGGTTTACTCCACAGATTAATGAAGAAACTAAGGCCCGGAGAGGGAAGGTAACATACCCAAGGGCACACAGCAGGTAAACTAGGAGATGGGACTGAAACTCCCGGCCTAGCCTTGAAGTCATTCAGCCCATGCTCTATCTCAGGGTCCCAAACCTCATCTACCCTCCTGGCTTTGGAACCCCCAAACACCCTTTGGACAGAGACCCAAGGAATGTGACCCTGGTCAAGCCCTGCCTCTGGGCAGGGCAGCTGGGGCCCCTGTTCCCTGGTGGTGGTGGAAAAAAAATAAGCCACTTCTAAGCCATCCCCCAGGCCCCATGCTTGAATTCCCTGGGCCTCAGTCTCTTTGCCTTTTAGATGGGCTAATAGGATCGCTATCGCCTTCCCAGCTTTACCTGTGCACCAGGGAAACCTGGGTAGTACAGGTTTGGGTACAAACCTGGGTAGTACAGACTGGGGGCTGGTGTGGCCTTACCTCTAAGAGCCAAGTGTCTTCGGGCTGGAGCCAAGGCTGCAGGGCTGTCCTGAGCTACCTCCCAGGGACCCAGGGACCTCGGGTGGGATGCTGGGCCCATGGGGCTGGAGCAGGCCTGAAAGGAAGGGGTGTGGCACTGACAGGGAGTGGGACCTCCCGCCCCAGGATCCCCACCTGCCAGCACCCACCGTGAATGCCTCTGTTGTCTTTTTCTCCATCATCCTCTGCAGGGCGCTCCGGACCTGGGGGTTGGGCATCAGGGTCAGGCCTAGGCCCCTCGCCCTGACCCCCAGGCACAGGTGCCCTGCAAGTTAGCCCTGCCCATCCCACCCCCCAGCCACCCATATCCCCAACTCACCTCCCCGTTGTAGGCAGCATAGACCAGGAAGATGTACGGCCCCTGGGGACAGACACAACATGTGGATGGGTGTCACTGCTTGGGATCCAGCCCCCTCCACCGCTTGGCCCTGGGGCCACAACAGAGACACACTGAGAGATACCCAGAGACACTGAGAGACACAGGCCGATGAACACAAATCCTACTCTGTCCCCCTCCTGCACTTGGGAGGGGACATCTGTGACACTCTATGGTAGACAGAACCAGAAGGGACCCTCTCCTACCTGACCCCATACCTTCAGCCTCTGGCCACAGGTAGCCTCTCTGCCCTCTTGTCCCTCTTTGTCCCCCCACTCCCACCTGCCCCTTCCTCACAGCCTCATCATGGCTGCAGGAGTTCCTGAAATCAAGGCTAACTCCAATCCTGGGACAGCAGATGTGTGAATGCTTGCTGATTCATGCCTCTAGCTGCATGTCTCTCTGTCTCTTCTTCTGGAAAGCAGAAGCCAGGACTCAGCTCCTGCTGTGTGTGAAGGACTCAGCACAGTGTCTGGGCTGTAGCTGGCTCTTCCTGCTCACACACATGAGGCCCAAGAGGGCCTGGCCCCTCACGAAGTACCATCACACATAGAGTGATGACCCTCATAGCAGCTCCATGCTGAGAGGGTGGGGGTGGCTTAATCCTTCCTGTTTGATGGAGCAGGACCCTAGGGCCTGGGGCAGGGGACAGAACAATGAGTCCTAGGCCAAAGTGTGACCCAGCAGGTGGAATTCGGAGCCTAGGCCTTCTTCAGATTCTACCTGGACAGGCCACAGCCCCTGTCCTGAGGCTCAGACTGGAGGACACAGGTTGGGGTCCAAGAGCCCTCCTTGAGGCTTCTAGCTTCAGCCTCAGAGCCTGGCTGCTCCCCCTGGTTCTTAGTCCCTAACTGGGTTCGTACCACCCTCCACCCTAAGACAGACCCTGGTGCTCCCCAGATTCCCGCCCCTCCCCACCCCCAGCTAGCCTGTCTTCCCTCTGCAGCCTTTCAAACAAAGGCAGCTTTCCAAACTCCACCCAACCCCACCAGCACCTCCCTGCTTAGCATTCTCCGAGGCTCCCTGGCACCCCTGGGATGACATCCGAGCTCCTTACAATAGCTCTGGGGACCCTGCACGGTCTGGCCCACATGTGTCCTCCTGTCCCATTTCTCACCAGCTCACGTGTCCCCCACTTCATGTCTCTGCTGGCTGCCCCCAAATTTCCCTGACCTAAAACATTCTTCTGTCTCACTGAGTCTCAGTCAAGAATCACTCCCTCCAGGAAGCACCCTTTCTGTGTCCCCACGAGTGGCTCCTCTGTCCCCAGCCTGCCCCCATGTCCCCTCAGCCTCTCAGCCTCCGCCATGCCCTGCCGTGGGCGTGTGGCCTGGTGCTCGGATCCTGGGCACTAGCAAGCTCTCTCCAGCACAGAGCCCACAAAGGTTCTCCTGCCCATGGTGCTCCTGGAGGGTGCCACGTGTGGCGCTCTGCCCTTTGCAGACATCACCTCCGTTGAACCCCACCAGGATCCCATGAGGTGGAGACTAGGATCCCCTGTAGAGAAATGTGGAAGCTGAGGCTTGTCTCAACTTGTCTGGGCCCCCCAGCAGGACGCCGCACCGGGAACCGGAGCTGGTCAGAAGCGCAGCGAGGCTCTCCTGCCCGGAAACCTGGCCCGGGAGCCACAAGAAGACACATCAGCCCTACAGAGGGAATGAGGCCCCACTGAGCTCAGTCCCTCTGCCCTGGGCCTGCTGTAGGGAAGGAGGGCAGTCCTGAGGGCAGGTCCTGCCTAGCTGATGGCCCGGCCACAGTGTGAGAGGGACACCCGGAGGTGGATGGGGTGAGGAAGACAGGGAGGGATGGCAGGAGGAGAGGAAAGGCCAGGCGTGGGGAGGGACCCAGAGGACTCAGCCTGACTGGGGAACCTTCCTGGGGACGGTGTCGGGAACGGCAGGGTGGGCCCAGGTCACGCATCAGCTGACCCTGTAAGGCAGCCTTTTCCCTCTTTCAGCAGGAGACCTTGGCAAGGAAGGTCTGTGGCTGACTGGGAGGAGGAGGGGGGGTCACGCTTAAGGACAAAAGCTGGGGGCATCAAGGGTCAACGGAAAGGGACACATAGAGGGAGGACCATGCCAGAGGAGAAAGGGATGGAGAAGGAACCTCAGAGAAAATTCAGAGACAGAGACGAAGCAGTGAGACAAGGGGAGAGGAAAGGAGGGAGGGGGACAGAGGGAGGGAGGCGGGGAGGTGGCCACTGCGGTGGTGGCCTTGGCAATGGGCTGCTGCCACCTGGCCACCCCTGGAGGGGGGTGGGGGCACCCCAGGCAGGGTCGCAGGCTAACCCAGCAGGGCCCACGTTTGAACCCAGGATGCTCTGGAGGCGTGGGGCTTGAGGAAGGGCTTGTCTGTGTCCAGGAAGGGGTGTAGCGCTGCCCTCTGTCCCCCACTGCTCAGGCCCACACAGGTGTCTGGGAGCTGTGTTTCTTTGGGAATATCTGGAAGCCCCGTTTTTCTTCATTTTCTGGGCCCATCTCTGGGCATGGCGCCTCCATGCTCCCCCAGCAGCGGCCCCTTCTTTCCTCTCTCCACTCCCACGCCTGGCCGAGAGTCCCCACAGCCCAGGCCGAGAAGGCGACATGGACCAGGACCTGGTAGTCACTACCCACGGCACCCTTCCTCGCTCCCTGCCCCCACCCAAGACTTCACATCTGGCCTTGGCCGTGGCCGGCTCTGCAAGAACACGGCATTTTGTAGCCTCCGTTCCTGCTCTGTCCCTACTGCCTGGAACAGTGCCTGGAGCCGGCACCTCCTAGGCGTTGGACAGGTATCAGGAGGATGGATGAACGACTGGATCAGGCCCTTCCTGATGCCGGCTCCGCCCCCCTCCACTTCCCACCCCACAATCTCTGCAGCTCTTCCAGGAATCAGCCAGGCCACATTCGGCTGGCTGCCCCCCACCCCGCCCCCACCCTGCTGCTCCTTCCTCCCTCGAGGCCCTGGACCATGACTTCATGGGGTCTGTCTCCTCATGTGTAAGGCCTGTTCGCAGACACAAATACAGGACAGAGGCTCTGGCCCGGGCCTCAGAGCACCTGGGCATCGAAGTGGCTGTTAATATCCTCGGGCCCTTCATCCCAGGAGGGGTGGAAAGGCCCCCAGGAGGACCTCTGGGACACATGGGCTCTGGACGGAATTTGTACCTTATTTCCTGAGCTTTCTTTGTCCATCCCCGAGCCACTCCTTTTCTCAGCCCTGACAGGAGCTGGGCAGCATAAGGGCGGACAGCAGGAAGAGGGGCCGGGGGTGCAAGGGAGGCTGAGGGGAAGGGCAGGGGTGGAGAGGCCCTGCCTGGACCCACCTCCCTCCCAGCTCTCAGGCCCCTGGGGTGTGCCTATCTTTGTCTATGTCTAGGTCCCCCCACAGGACCGCCACCCCCTGAGGACAAGGACCAAGTCTGACTCCTCTCAGAGACTCCTGGACACAGGCCCATGGGAGGCCTCCTGTGGCGCCCCTGTGACGGCCTCTTTCACGTGGGCTGAGTGTTGTCCTCCTGACCACAGCCTCTCCTCACTGCCGTCCTCACCAGGGCCCCACAGCGGCCCCCCTCCGAGCCTGAGGGCAGAGGTCCCAGGGGTCCTGCACCCCATCCTTGGCTTCCTGCTGAGACCTGAAGTGGCTCTTGTGCCAGCCCAGGGCCTGGAACCGCTGCCACTCCCCTGAGGGTCTGAACCTCAGCTCCCTCAACTGTAAAATGGGCACAAAATCCTCCCTGACGTGCTGCCTCTTTGATTCAAGGGTTGGTTCCCACTCTCGCCCTCAACTTCCTGTCTCTTGACAATGTCCCCTAGTCGCTGTTGGTGCCTCCCACGGCCTACAGGACACTCCTTTACCCATCTGCCGACAACCCAGTCCCTCCCTCTGAGCTCCACTATGCGTCAGAGCCCTGGTCCCAGGTGGTCCAGGGCCTAGAAGTACCTGGAAGGAATTGAGGCCCACGGCGGCGTAGGCCCAAGCCGGGCTGAGGTGCACCAGCATGCCGACCAGCCAGGTCAGTCCCAGGACGGGCAGCAGGACCAGCACCGGCTTCACCATGGCCCTGCGGGAGAGCAGGCCGGGCTGAGGGAAGCCAGGCCGGCCTGGGAACCCCTGCAGGCCGCTGGGGGGGGGCACGTGGGAGGTGCCTGGAGAGGGGGTTGGACGCGCAGACCGTGGACCGCTTTTCAGGACTTAGGTGAAGCTGGGATCTTCAGCGGGACTTGGCTGTCCCTTCTCAGACCCAGAAGTGGTTGGCACTGGGGAGATGGGGTCCCAGTCCCAAACCTGGCTCAGAGGAAGGGTGCGGCAGCTGCCCAGAGGGAGGGCTAAGGACTGGGGGGGATCCAGGTGGCATGGAGTCCAAAATCTTCCCTTCCCAGGGACCCCTAGGGCTCTCTGGCTTTTCAGTTCCCCCATTGGCTTGGGCTGCCCTGCCCTTGGCAGAGGATGGGGGCGGGGAGAGGAAGGCCAGGGGCATCCTCCTTTCAGCAGGACATGGCCCTGGAGAGTGAGGAGAGTTCTTGCAAGGGTAGGGACCTAAATCCTCACTCTGAACCTAAACTTCTGGGGACCGCCTGATCGAGGGGTCTCCCCTACCTTGTCCCTACCAGGCCATCTGTGCTATCAGTAGACAGTGAGCCCCCAGGACAGCGGCTTGTGTCTACAAACACCTCCCACCCCTCAGCACTTAGGACTGATTACTGCCCCCCCAGGTGACTTGCGAGGTCACATGCTCACCCTCGTCCACACACATGAGCATGCGACACCTGCTCAGGTCCTGCCTTGGCCCCGCGAGCACACATAGCCTTAGGACCACACCCTGCCACCACAGACTTGCACAGGCCCCCATCCAGTGAGCCTCCCGCGTGCTCCCCCACTTCTGGGCCTCACCATGTCTGGATCCTGACCTGCTCCTGCAGGCAGGGCCGTGGGCTCAGCATGCGGGCACGGCGGCGGGCGCTGGCCACAGTGACCATCACTACGCAGATCAGGATGCACGTGTTGGCCTGGAGACCGGGCATCAGCGGGTGAGAGGGGCTCCCCTTTCCCCAGCGTGACCTGCCCACCCCTCTAGGCCCCCAGGTCACCCGGCTCACAGTCAGCACGAAGAGCACAGGCCCCACAAAGGCCCAGATGATGTCTGTGTGCACGTTGAGCCAGCAGTGCCCGGCCGCCACATAGTCATGGGGAGACAGGGCCAGGGTGATGGCCACAATGGCCGCAGGCACACCTAGGAGAAGAACGAGTGTCCCCCGGACCATGCCTCGCAGCCTGTACTCTCCCAGACCCGGCCCCGCCCCCAGGACCTGACCCGGCCCCCAGGATCTGGCCCCGCCCCCAGGACCTCTTCCCTGCCCCGCCCAGAGCAGCCACCCAGGGCTGTCCGTGGCAGCAGGTGCACTGTGGGCACGGGGAGCTCTGGTTGGGGCTCTGGATCCCAGGTGGAGACGGTGACCGGAGGGTGTTGGACAGCAAGAGGCCACATGAAGCAGACTTGAGAACAGAGCAGGAGCGGGGAGCAGGGGGCCTCACCCCAGCCTGTGGTGTAGTAGAGCGCCATCCGGGGGCCCGGGCGCATTCTCACGACCACCACCTTGCTCCAGAGCAGGAGGCCCTCCACCAGCATCCAGGAGAATGCCACCAAAAAGAGGAGGTGCATTATGGCTGTGACAGCCACACAGGCCACCTGTGGGTGGGAGGGTGGCAGAGACCCACCAAGGCCAGCTGTGGGCACAGCCCAGCTCTGGGTCCCCCGCCCGTGTCTGGCACCACCAACACAAGGATGTATCCGTGGGGAAGGTCTCTGGAAGCGCCCCCCGCCCACCTCCAGCATTCGGGGTTTTGTTCATCTCTGGGCCATGCTCCCCCCAGGAGATGGAGCCTAGTGAAGTGGGGGACAACCCAGAAACGGCTGGTCCCCCCTGAGCTCACAAGCACACCTGCTGGGTGCCCACCTTATTGGCCTTTGCCCACTCGCTGGCCATGAGGAAGCCCTCGGCCGAGGCCAGGGAGAAGGTAAGGTTCTTGTGGACCGTGGCTCGCTCTGACTCGGGAACCCTGGACAGGCAGGGGTCCGTCAACAAGGTCACCACTAGCAGCCCCCACCCACTATCCGCCCCCGCCTGCTTGGGTCCCTGTGGGTGAGCTAATGGAGACAGAGATGGTGGCTTCGTGGGGGCCCACAGCCCTAAGGGAGACCCCAGACCAAGGGCTTCTTGGACAAGGATGCACACAACAGGAGCTCGTCTCACCCGGCTGCCAGGAAGAGCAAGAACGTGGCGGCCAGGGCACAGAAGGACACGCCGCAGCCCACAAACGAGAGTGTCCTCAGCAGTGACTCCTCCTCGGCACTCCTCTGTGGGCCGGGCGCGGAGGACAGTAACCCCATCACGGCCCTGACCTGAGCACACCGGGTCTCGCCCTGTCCCAGCCCAGCAAGGCTCCCCAGACCTCCTTGTCTGCGGTGACCCAGGGATGGCAACGGCAGCAGCCGGCAAGGCCAGGCTTACATACATGCAAGCACTTAATACAAGAGCATTCGCCTGTCCTCTCCCGCTGGCTCTCCCTAACCTGGCCCTGACTGGTCCCGCTTTCGCTGATGTCAAAGCTCCTGAGAGCCCTGACTGGGAGGTGACTGAGGCAGCCACAGGGAGAGGATGGCATGTCACAACCCCCCCACGCTGGGGGGAGGGGGCATGGAGCTCACACGCAAACATGGCCTCTCTCTGCTTTTACAGGACAAATGTGTCTGTAGCATGTTTCTCTAGTGTGCTCCCCAACATGCCGAGGAACCCTGGCGTTCCTGAGCCTCTGGCGCTGTGTCACTCAGTCTCTTAGCAAGTGACCCCTCCGAGTCCCTTGTCAGCTCTAGTGAGCACACCGGTCCGGCTCTGCTCTTGGGATTGGGTGTAAATGCTGGGTCTTTCCAGGGGCCTCCCTTGCTTTGGTCTCAGTTACTTCTGACCTCATCTCAGCTACGGCTTCACCTGCGGGCCCTTGGTCTCCAGCTGAGACCTCTCCCACCCCGAAACCCTCAGCCCCGTGGCCTGCCCCACCCCCCTCTGAGATGACTCCCCCCCCCCCCCCCCCCCGCTGCTGCCCAGGCCTTTGTCCCAGACCCCCTCCTCCTCCTTCAGTCCCGTGTCCTCCATTGGCCCGCTGTCCCCCCATGCAGGGCCTGCCCCCTGCCCACAGACCCCCTTGAGGCTCTCTGCCCCTCCAGCTCACTCCTGGCACCAGAGGGCGCCCTTGGGGCAAAGCCAACACCTGCTGAACACATTCGCGACGGTCCCCTGCAGATAGGACCCATAGGATCGCCATCGGAGCGCCTGAGCATCCTGGGCTCTGACCTCTGCCACTCGTCCCTCCACCTTCTTCCACTCCTGGGCCCGGCACAGGCAGCTCCAGAGACGTCGAAGTTCTCAAATGTGTCGGAGTCGGCCTGCCATTTCTAGTCTCCTTGCCTTTGCTCAGACTGGCCCTCTGCTGGGGATGCCTTTCTGTTCAGTTCTTGGTCACCCTTTAAGACTTGGTTCCGACATCTCCTTCCCCCATGGCCCTGTCCCAACCCTACCTCCCTGGGACTCACCTGAACGTCATACACCTGCAGCAGGACCGCAAAGTTGGTGCTGTGGTTGCAGAAGCAGGCGGTGGAGGCCTCGTACAGGGCGGCCACAGAGCAGCCAGCGGTGGCCCATGAGCCCCCTGTGTCTGGGCTGGGGGAGGGCAGGGAACAGAAGGGCTCTTGAAATGGGAAGGACGTGGGGGTGGAGGTAGGTGGTAAGCAGGGGACAGCCTCTCTCCAAAGCTTGGGGCCCATCGCCACTCTGCCTCTAACCAGCTTTGCGACTTTGGGCAAGCGCCTGCCCTTCCTGGGGCCTCAGTTTCCCATCTGTAAAATGGACTTAACACTCTTAGGGATGATAGGGGGCCATGGGGCCAAGACCAGTGATTACAACTGATTAATGGCATTTATTACTAAGTGACAGTGATCGACGTTCAGCCAAGGATCCAGGGCTGGGAGCTGGGGCTCATCTCTGTACCGTTTTCCGCTCCTTCAAACATCGAAGCGCCCTGGCCTGGGACATATCATCAAGTCTAACACCTATTTGACAGATTGGTCTCTCCCTAGGCACCCCACAGAGTGAGCTCGTGTATCTCCCATGATGGGGAGCTCACTATCTCCTGGGTCACAGCTTCTCTTGCTCCAGCTTGTCCTGGAGTTGGGGAGGGGCCCGAGGCAAGACAGGTGGTGACTCTGGTGACCCAAAACACACCTCATCCTCAAGCAGAATGGATGGCTACACCAAACTGCCTTAATTAAAGAACTGGGAAGTGGAAACTCACCTGATACTGAAGTTCCAGAAAGCACAGACAGGCTGCGCCAGTCTCAGCGGGAAGGCCTGAGGGCAGGAAACAGGGCCAGAGCAGGCGTGTGAGTGTATATGGAGGGCCTGGGGCAAGGGTGTGGATGCGTACGGAGAGGGGAGACCAGAAGGGTGCAGTGGGATGGTGAGGTCTCTGAGTTGGAGGGACCGGGGGTTGCCCAGTGTGGGTCACAGCTGAAGAGGTGGGGAAAAAGGCCAGTGGGGAGGCAGAGGGAAGGGAAGGGCAGGAGGCTGGTGTGCCAACATCATGTATGATATTGAAATACTGGGAACAAGTTAAATGCCCATCCTCTGGGGAGCGGTTAAACCACTGTGACTCGTCCCTCTTGGGGACCAGCTCTGCACCTGGTAAGATGAACAGACCGGTCTCTATCGGCAGGGAAAGAGCTCCGTTATACTTTGCTGAATAAAGAAAAAAGCTGCGTGTCATCACGCATAGTATGAACTCACTTATGTAAAAAAAAAATACATACATACGGTCTATGTGATTGTGAACACATACACACAAGAAGTCTGGGGTTAAATGCACAGCTAATTCAGTCACGGCTAGGTCTCAGTTTGAATGTGTCATAATGAACGTATTAATTCTTTGGTAATTAAACAATGACAACTACATGGATTTTATAAGACGTCATTAAGCAACCTGTGGTACCAGCCCCAGTGCAGGCAGGGAAAGCAGCCTGAGTTCAGGACTTGGGCTACAGGTCCCCACGGACAAGGGTAACAGCAGTGTGACCTCACTAGAACAGGAGACTCTGTGTCATGTTCTTCATGTCCTTTATCGTGGCTGATCTTCATAACAACCTTGGAGACAGGCATAAATTCATGCAATTTCAGATGAGGAAATTGAGCTTCAGAGAGGGATGTTAGTCTGCCCAAGATCACACAGCACAGAGCTGAGGGTGGGCCCTGACTTGGTTATGCTGTTTCAGCCACTCTGTGATTCTCTAGAGACTGTGGCATTTCTTGGGCTGACTGAATTATCACCCCCATGTATTCATTCACTCGTAATATTTTTTTCTAAGTATCTGAATCTATGTTGGGTGCTGGGAACATAAAGAAAACCTGTTGATTGCTTTTAAAATGGATGATTTTGGGGGCATCTGGGTGGCTCAGTTGGTTAAGCATCTGACTTTAGCTCAGGACATTATCTCAGGGTCCTGGGATGGAGCCCTGTGTTGGGCTCCTTGCTCAGCGGGGAGTCCGCTTGTCCCTCTCCCTCTGTGATCTCTCTTGCTTTCTGACAGTGTCAGGCAGGGTCATTGTAATCGAAAAAACCCTGCAGAACCCAAGTTCATTTTGGACCCTTGCTGGGGAAGGGGTGGCTCTGGAATTGACCTTGGTCAAAGCCTATACATGCTAGGATTCAGCAGCCATGACAAAAGACAGGGTGGCAAAGAGACATCTGTGACTGCGACAATGCAGAAAACACTTTCAGGGAGAGCAAGAAACACAAATGTTCACGTGACTCAGCTGAAGGAGCCAGGACTTGGATTTTGCAAAAGGCAAAACAAAAACCCAAAATTATGGCTTTAGGAAAAATTTAAGAAAAAACTATAGAAATCAGGACAAACTAATCATAGTATGTCCATATAGTGGAATCTTACTCAGCAGTAAAGAGAAGCAAATTACTGAAATGGGAAACAATATGGACGATTCTCCCAAAACCCCCAGTGACACAGCATACACTATGGTTCCATTTATGGGAAACGCTGGAAAAGACAGAATCTACAGTCACAAGAAGCAGATCAGTGATTTCCTGGGGTGAAAGGGAGGGAAACCTGCCTGGCGGGGGGACACAAAGAAGCCCATCGGGAAGGTGGAAATGGTCTTTACCTTGCTTGGGGTAGTGGTCCCTGAGTGTATATGCGGGTCAAAACCCACCATGTTGTATAGTTAAATTGGACACTGCAGTGTATGGAGATTGATTTTTACAGTCTTGGAATGACATACTGGAGACTGATAAACTGTGGGGGGTGTGTATGTGTTTGTTCGTGTCTAGGATTAGCGGTCGTGGGTAAAAGCCAACTTTAGATTTCTCTGAAACTAACGTTGCAAAAGCAGGAAGGAATGTGTGTATTTCACGTGATGAAATGAAGCAAGGTTTCTGGCGATCTTTCCAGATCAGTTTATAGAAAAAGACCTGTTCCTTGCATAACCCTAGGGGATGGACGATTCCAGGGCGTAGCTGCATATGGCTTTTTGCCCAGTCCCCCTTGGTGGAGGCTTGGGCTCTTCCAGCTCTCAGGAGCATGTGGCCGTGCAGGTTTCTGCACATGTCCCGGGATGTTCCAACGGGAACCACCAATGTTTTGAGTCATGCACACCGATAATGAAATCCCAGCTCTGCCACTTACAGGCTGGGGCCCATCACAGCCGCTCCGCCAAGCTCACTCTTTGCTGTGTAGAATGGGCAGTTGGAGAATTACATGGACGTTGCTTATTTAAGTTCCCCAGCACAGAGTGAGTGTGTAATAAACCAATTCCCTTTCAGGTCCTGGAAGACAATGGGGTACCTTGGGAATGAGTATTTCTCTTGTACATTTTTAGACCTTGGTTCAGTTGAATGCATATTCGGGAAGGGGGACAGCAAACCAGGATAAGTGCAGTGGGGTGGCAGTTCCCAGAAGTACCCCCCATGCCCAGTACCTGGGCCTGGTGCTTCAGGTGAAACGTCACGGATGTGCTGACCTCCCCGGTCTCATCCCATACCTCAGAGGAGATGATGGCCGAGCCCAGCCGGGTGCTTAGAAACCTGTGGGGAGAAAGGGAGCTTTTAAGGGCACCAGCTGGCTGTGCAGGAGAGGTTGTGGATGGCCTGGATATGCAGAGATGACACCCTCTGTGTCCAAAGAAACATCAGGAAATGTCCTGTGCTTGGAATTAGGGCATACGAGTTCCAGTTTTGCCTTGGGGACTTGCTAGGAAATTCAGTAAGTCTTGTCTTCTCCCTGAGTCTTGACACTGAAGCCTGGACCCCAGACAGTGGTCGAGCCAGGTTCCAGGGGCACGCCCAGCGTTGTGTGTGTTGGGGATGGGGAGGGTTTGGTTCTGGGTGCTAAAGGCAGATTTGACTCTCAGAATGAGGGCTCTGGCATGGGATGGAGGCCTGGCCCTCCCTGGGGAGGGGATCCAGACCCTCAGCAGCCTACTGGCTGGGCCCCACTCACCTCTGCACCTTGCTCGCCTCTTCTGAGCTGTCAGGGGCCTGGGGCTCTAGGCCGGGCTCCCCTAGGGTGTGCTGGAAGATACTGGAGCTGAACCAGCTGTGGATCACGGTGACTCTGGAGAGGCCTGGCTGAGTGGGAGGGGGCCCAAGACCCCACCCTGTGTCTGAGCAAGTGCCACGGGTTGGCCCCGAGGGAGATGCTCTGCTCACCCTACAGATAGGGAAACTGAGGCTCATAGAGATTAATTGCTTTCCCAAAGATCACACAGCTAATAAGTAGTGGAACCAGAATTCCAACCAGCCATGGCTCATGCACTTAACCCGGCAGCTCTAAGGCCCTTTGCTGCATGTCCTGATCCTCCTGCCCCGGGCGGCAGCAAGCTGAGGGCCTCCTCCACTACCCGCTTCCAAGAGGCAACGTGTGGTTCAGTGGAGGAGACTCAGCGAACATCTATGATGTGACAAGTGCTTCTAACCTCATAATCACCCGCAAGGCAAGTACAAAGAGGACAGTCTTCCAGGCAAGGAAACAGGCTCTGAATGGTGAGGTGACTTATTCAAAGTAGCAGAGTTAGCAACACGAGCTGACCCAGACCCCAAGAGGAACCCACTCCCCACACCACTCTCCGTACCCACCTTTCCTGAGGAGCTGCTCCACTTCTCCAGCGGGGATACGGATGTGGCCGGGCCCCTCTGGATGTCCACGGGGCACTGTGAACACACAGCCTCTGCTGGCTTCCCCCAGGTGTAGGCTCCGCACCTCCAGACCTGGGATCAAACGGGGCTGGGTGGCTGGACCTCCAGAGGGAGGTCTTTCTGCTGAACCAGCCCCCGCGGCAGGGTTGGCTTCCCCTCTCCTTCAAGTCCAGAAGAGGGGAATCACTGAGAGGCGTTCCTGGGGGCCAGGATCCGAATACCAATGCACCCCAGAAACCAATGGGTTCCCAAAGGACACAGGTTTTTGCCAAAGTTCCAACCATCAATCCACAAACACTGAGTGTGTACTGGGGTCTGGCCCGAGAGGCAGAAATGGCTCAGAGACGGTCCTGCTACTCAGGGGGCCTCAGGAGGAAGGAGGTCATCACCACAAATGCAAAAAGATGTGTTTGCGTATGGGGTGTCGGCAGGAGGAGGAAATGACTGTCAGGAGAGCTAAAACCACACGAGGCTTCCCGGAGGAGCTGATGCTCCAGCCAGGTTCTGAAGGATAGATAGGAGTCTGCTAGGAGGTCAAGGGAGAGAGGGCATCTGGAGGGAGGGCACGGCGCGGGCAAAGGCAGGAGACTGACTGGAAGTGATGGAGGCTGAGAAGAGACGTCTGAGCTCCGAGGGCCCAGCTGGGTGGGACGGGTGGCTCACAGGCTCACCGGCTCCATGGCGCTGGATACGCAGTCCCGGCCGCTCGGAGGTCAGCACGGTGCTCAGCACGGGTGCCAGGCGCTGGACACTTGCCACCAAGGCCATGGGGCCGCCGACCACCTGGAAGGAGCCGCACCTCAGCTCCCTCCCGCTCTGCATCCTGCTGCCACCCGCCCTGACCGGTCGTGAACGTGTTCCCAGGGATCTGTGAAGTGGCGGGCCTGCTCCAGACTCTTGGTGGCTGCTCAAGCCTCCAGGATCGAGTCCTGGGTCCTCAGGCTGGGGTCTGAGGCCCGGACCCATGGGCCTCCTCTGTCCTCTCCGAGCTTCTCCTGAGCCATCATCGGTGCTAGCCCAGGCAAAGGCCTCCCAGCCTTTGCTCATTTGCCATCTGGGCACCCTCCGAAGCTCACTTCCCCAGGGGAGGCATTCCGGGGAACCAGGGCCGCCTGTTGTGTCATCTCCAGCCCGTCCCCAAGCCTCGGGCCCTGTTCCGTCCTCTCAGGCCAAGAGGCACCGCCTCTGTTCCTCCTGCCCCAGAAACTTTCAGGTGATGTCTATGACCCCTCATCTCTCCCTTCTCTAGGCCGACTGCTCCCAAGCCTACAGCCACTTCTGCCCGAGGATGTTTCCAACGCCCTTGCCATCTGGATAGCAGCTGTCCTGTTCTCCTGAGCGTCTGGGCTGCTTTGGAAGACAAGATGGCTGAACACTCAGCAGAGATGTCCTCCCTCTCAGACTCTTGGATACGGGGGAGGTCCTTGTGGGTTAGTGGCTCTTATTTTCGACTGTAGAAACTATTCTTCAAGTGTGGTTGTGTGTGGGAGTCCAACTTTCATAACAGATAAAAGAGGAACTTCTGGGGTGCCTGGGTGGCTCAGTGGGTTAAGCGTCTGCCTTCAGCTCAGGTCACAATTCCAGGGTCCTGGGATCGAGCCCCACATCAGGATCTCTGCTCAGCGGGGAGCCTGCTTCTCCCTCTCCCTCTGCTGCTCCCCCTGCTTTTGCTTTCTCTCTCTCCAGCTCTCTCTCTCTCTCTCAAAAAAACAAAAACAAAAACAAAAACAAAAACAAAACTCTCTCTCTCTCTCTTTTTTTAAAGAGGAGCTTCTTCTGATAGACGGAGAGATAAAGCTCCGCAACGGGTGCTGACTGGCCCATGGCTACACAAGAAGCTGGAGGCAAGGACGGAATGGGAGCCCAGGCCTCCCCCAGCGCCCCCACCCCCAGCCCTGCCCGCCTCACCTCGCTGACTGAGAGCCACGTGCCGGCCAGCTGCTCCTCCAGGACCAAGCTGGCCACGGACACGATGCCCTGGCCTAGCTGCTCCCAGGGCCCTGTCAAGGGGTCTGGCTCCCCAGCCCCGAGGGCTGTCACCCTCTTCAGGAAGTGGATGACGGCCAGCAGTGCCGCGGGCCCCAGGGGAGCCGCCTCCTTTGCCAGGACTCTCTCCAGGACACCCAGGAAGCTGCAGGCCTCAGCTGGCGACAGGTGTCCATGGGCTTCAGAGAGAGGGTCCGGGAGGAGCTGTGGGCAGAGGAGCTCTTTACGGCAGGTCTGGCTGTTCAGAGGGATCTCCCAGCGCAAGCCACACTTGTGCCCCACTAGGGTCTTCTTGGTGGCCCATGTCAAACATATCACAAGCCCCCAGCTCTCAAGGGCTCCAAAATAGGGAATATGACCAATCTTGATTGCTGGAGACATGATAGGTGGGTGTCCCCTTTGTAGGTGAGGAAGCTGAGATGCAGGAAGGTGACCCAGAGTGTCCCCAATTCTTCAGCTCCCTGGATGGGGGGCTCACCACAGTGGTGTTGGCCAAGGCATTGACTCGGCTGATAACATCCTGGCCAGGCCATGACGGGGCATCCTGCAGCCGCTGGTAAGTCTCTGCAAAGGAGGGGAGGCCAGGCTGGGTCCCGAGGGACACAGCCCAGAGGTGCCCCACCCACCATTTGCTGCTCTAGGAGGAAGAACATGTTCACTGCTACGTGTCTGGAGCCTTACAGTGTTCTAGATGGGGAAACTGAGTCATACAATAGCAAAATCACTTGCCCAGGGACACACAGCTGGGATTCACCTCCAGGTCTTTCTGGCTCTACCCCCACCCCGTCCTGTAGTTTGGACTCCAAGGAGGCCCTGAAACTTCGAGAAGATTCTGAATTCCCAGTTTGTGCCAACTGCTTACTCCCCCTCGGCCTACACTTGTCCATACCCAGCCTCCCCTTCAGCAGAGCCCTGGGCACTGCCAGGAATCACCTGTCCGGTAGCAGCAGAGGAAGGGCCGTGGTTGAAGGCAGAGCGAAGAGCCCTCAGTATGGGATCCTGGGTTCCACGTAGGGCACTCCTCTGAAGGCACTGGCAGGGATGGGACAGGGGTCAGGACCGTATCGTGGCTCCCCAGGAGCCCCTGTGACCCACCGGCCTGTTCGGGCTTTAAAGGCACTTGTACACCTTTGGGGGCTAAAACGCAGTCCCCGACTTAGGGGGCAATGTGGGAACCTGGGTGAAGGGTGCTGTAGCCAGCACAAGGTGGGGCAAGGAAGCTAAGGGGTGAGCCTCGTATTTGCCAGACCGGCTTGGGGAGGGCGTGACCAGAGCTGGGCGTGGCCAGGTTCGAGAGACGTGGGTTGGGTCGCGAGCTCAGAAGGGAGCCTGCGGGAGCCAGGGGGCGGAAACCCAGCAACCAGGGGGCGGAACCCAGCAACCAGGGGGCGGGGCCCAGCAACTGGAGGGCGGGGCCTAGCAGCCCAAAGGCGGGGCGGGCGGTACCTGGACAGAGAAGGCGCACCCGCAGGGGCGGCAGCAGCGAGGGCGTGACGTCCAGGGCGCCCAAGTCCCAGCGGAAGAGCAGGCCGACGGCTGGCGGCGCGCAGGCTCGCGCCCGCCGCAGGTCCGCGGGACTCAGCGCCCGAGCCCACAGGTGGAAGTCGGTGAGGTTGCCGCTGAAGGCATCGCGCGCTGAGAAGCCGCCGCCCAGGGAGTCCTGATCCTGGCCCAGCACGAGGATGCCGCCCGCTGGCACCGGGTGGCCTGCGCCCAGTCCCCGCGCCCCGGCGCGCCGCCGCCCGTCGGCGAACAGCGCCCAGCGCCCGCCGCGCTGCTCCCACGTGGCGCACACGTGGTGCCAGCGGCCGTCGGCGCGGAAGGCGGCGAGGAAGGGTGCGTGGTGGCCGCGCACCACCAGCGCCGCGTGCACCAAGCCGCGGGGCTCGGCGAAGGCTCGCAGCTGCAGCGCGTTAGGCAGCGCGGGCGCGGCGAGGGAGAAGAGCGCCGCGGGGTCGGGCGTGGCGGCGTCCCCCTGCACGTGCGCGCACGCAGTCAGCGCCCCCAGCGCGGGCAGGGGCCGCCGCAGCCGTGCAGCCCTGTCCGCGGTCCGCTCCCCGAACACCAGCGCGGCCGACGTGAGCGCGCCTGCGGGGACACGCGGGCCGGCCCCTCAGTGTTCCCAGCGGCGCACAGCCTCTGGCTACCCACTGGCCTAGCTGTAGGGCCCCTTGTGGGCTTTGGGGTATCTCCCTCTCTCGGGAAGGAAGAAATGGGGGCTCCTGTGCTCATACCCATGCGGTCAACCCTCTATTTTAGTCCAGGACAAGGGAACTGGAGATGCAACGGGGACTTCTGAACTCAACCCAAGAGGACAATCACTGTCGGCTCCATCTCTGGAGGTTGCCAAAGCCTCTGCACCCCCGTACCCCCGCACCCCCGCCTCCTCCTCCCAAGTCCTGGGCCCACACTCACCCCTTTTCGGGGCTCTCCGAAGAGAGCCCTCTTTTTGGCCCACCCAGATGGGGTTGGGCAGCCGTAGAGCCAGGGCCCCAGCAGGGGGCGCGAGTGCCAGGTGGCCAAACCTCTGCTCACAAGCCTCTTGAGCCTGCCACCAGGTCAGGTGCTGCCCTGGAAACTTGCACACCCCATCCGCAGTCTCCACCACCTCCCCGGGACCCACTGGAGCTGCAGGGTCAGAGGAGAGAAGGTGGGAGAGCAGGGTGTGGGCCATGTGACCCTTCCGGTGGGGCCGGCCATGCGCACTGAGCTAGGAGTCATTCGCAGCTCAATGATCTGTGACCTGTCAGGTCTAGTCCCTTTGCCGAGCCTTTTTTGTCATCTCTTTAGAGCCAAGAATAAGATGGACACGGTTGAAACTTTCATTCCAGGGTCCGGGGATGATGGGGGCTGAACTAAACGGCATCTCCTCCCTTCCTTTGCCTTAGACGCCAATGCACCAGGTGGACCACAGGCTGGCTGAGCTGGAGGTCGGAGGAACCCCTCTGGGACCCTCAATACCAACCTGTGACCCAGGAGCCCCTTGATTCAGCTGGTGAGTTGGAGAGGGTCCCAGAGAGACTCCTTATCTGAGAAAGAAGCAGACAGTTTGGGGCTGGGTCAGCCAGTTACTGATTATCTACTGTGTGCTCCTGCAGGATGTGTTGGAAGCTCCAAGCTCTGGAGTCAGACCTGAGTTCCAGTCCCACCGAGAGGGATTCTTGGGCAGGGTGTTTCACTGCCTTGAGCTTGTCCTCCAGCCCCGCTCCACTCCCTTCTCCATCCCCCCCCACCCCCTGTGAGGAATTAACAAGCTGTTGAATGAATGTAAAAGGATGCAGTGTAAAAGCAGTGGATGCTTTTACTCTATTATTATTGCCAAAGGCTTATCTCGTGTGACCTTCACAGTGACCTCAGAGGTGCCCACTTGGAAGCCAGCAGCTTTGAGTCCCCTTGGCCACCCCACCCCCATCCTCCATGTTCAGGTACCAGCAGGTAGACGAGGCAGTAGCACCAGGAGGCCATTCGGAATCCAGCAGGGACAGGGGAGGGACAGCAAGGGTCACAGATGTGGCCACTGTGGACTGAAGAAGGAAAAAAGCAAATGAACATTCAGCGTCCTGACTTGCTACCCGCTCTGTCTCCTGCAGGGTCATCTTCCCCCAGGTTTGGCTCCCAGAATTTACTGGGCCGAGAGCCCAGGATGGGCTGGGCACATCTACTTGACATTTGCTTGCACAAAAGGATGGTCTCCAGGAGCCCTTTCTAGGACCACAGATGGGAACACTGTAGCCCTGGTGAGCTGGGAACGGCTGGGTGTGGGGAGGGAAGGCAGCAGCAGCCGGCTGGCCAGAGAGAGGTGGAAACTGAGCACAGGATCCCTGTTAGACTTCCTTGTGTTCTTTTGGGCTCACAGCTTGGCATTCAAGGCCCTGCTTCATGAGGCCTCTGCTGAGCTCGCTGGCCTCACCAGTCTCCCTATCCACCTGCCTCCTAGCTCCCCTGCAGTCACCTTTCCCCTGTCCCCCAAGCTGCCCCTATTTCTCCAGGCAGCGTCTCTTCTCCAGATTTTGGGGTGCTCAGTCCCTCTTGCCTGGACTGGCCTTCCACTCCCTCAGGGGCACCTTCTACAGATCAGTCTGCCGTCACGGCCTCCACCTGCATTGATGGCCACATGCTGCTGTGAGCTGAGGATACCCTAATTGTGGGTGGCTTGTGGGTCTGGGGGGCTTTAGGCCTCCTGGGTCTCTACTCCAGCAGTTGCCGAGCACCATTGGGTTCCAAAAAATACTGGAGAACAAAGAATGGTCCACTGTGTCCCACCAGTCGGCCTCATGCCAGCTGGAAGTCCTGAGCCATCCCCAGTGACAATTCATACCCTTTCCCCCTTTCCAGATAAAGTGCTAAGTGTGGAAATCAGACCCATTCCTGCACAGGAATACACGGGGGTTCACGCCTGGATTCCGAAAAGCACCAATTTATTGTCACTTTCCCCCTTTTAAAAAATTAATTAATTAATTAAAATTAAGTGGGCTCCACACCCAAGATGGAGCTTAAGCCCACCACCCCGAGATCAAGAGTTGCATGCTGTACCAAAGGAGCCAACCAGAAGCCCCACTTTTCCCCTTTTTAAACAGCACCTGTGCCCACCCTCCACCCCCGCCTTCAGTGGGTGGGCAATGGTAGGAGTCCAAGACTGAGGCTTGGTCCCTAGCATGTGCTGGGCACATAGTATGGGCTCAATAAATGGGGACCGCCTCATTCCCTTGTTCGAGTTTGCCTGTATTTGTGCCCCCGACCCCAAACTCCTTGCCCCACCCTCCTCGCTCACCGTACACTCTTTGGCACCCAAGAGGGAGATGCGAAGTCCGGTGGGCACTGCGACACTGCATGTCCTTCCGTCCTCCGTGAGAGCCCCAGTGGGGAATGCCTCCTAGGCTGATGAGCCAGGACAAGGGCTCCCCCTCCTTCACCCGCGTTGACCCCTCCCCTATTCAGAGCCGAGCTCCTCACCTGCTCGGTCTGGCCAGGCGCCTACGACCGGCTCAGCTGCTGCGAAGTGTTTCGGGGACAGACGAGGTCCGGTGGCTGCACCTCTGTGCTAGCTCTCCACCGGACAGGGGAGCCCGCGGGCGCGGGGCGGGGCGGGGGGCGGTACTAGGAGACCCCGCCCCTCGGCGCCGGCCCCTTGGAGTCAGGGACTCCCCGCCCTCCTATGCGCGCGGGCTGTCCAGTCTTCCCGCTGGCCCGAGAGCCCGGGTGGGGAGAAGGGGTGTGTCCCGGAGTTCCTCGGTTCCTGAACGGGATCTGCGGTGCTTCTCCCCACAACACGCAGGAAAAGGCACTCGGTTAGAAGGGGTCGCTCTGTGAGGCTTGGATCCCAAATAAACTTGTGGAAGTGGAAGGATCCTTGGACTTTCCCAACCGCATCTCCGGCTGGACGGTGGGAAAGGAAGGAAACGTTCAGGGCCCTGAGCTGGCCCCCTACAGACCTCCTTTTTTTTTTTTTTTTTTTTTACTTTAACCCCACTTTGAGGAGGGACTGTCATACCCATTTTCCAGATAAGGACTGAGGGCTCTCTCCAAGTTAGACAGCTGGTGGGTGGCAGAGCCCGGCCTTGAACCTGGCTCTTTGGGTCTTCATCCAGACCATTCAAAAGGTGAGGGCGAGGTGGGCGGTAGAGAATCCATGTGTGTGAGGTGGGGGGAATTAAAATGAAAGGGTTTTGGCCTCTGAGGGCAGAGCCTGGGCTAGGTGGGTGGTGGGGGAAGGAGCCCAGGTAGGTTAAGGGGAGGGAGGAGGGACGCAGAGGTGGTGCTCTGAGTGGCCCCCAGCTGGGACCAGAGGTACCCCCTGGCCTCAGTAGGGAGACTTCCGGCTTGGGAGGGAGGTCAGACCGATCCAAGTTCATCTTGACTGACTCAGGCACGTTGCCCAATTTCTCTGAGCCTTGGTTTCCCCATCTGTGACATGTGGATAATAGTACACACGTCAAGGGGCTGCTGTGTGATTTAAGTGACCTTGACAAAGCCTGTGGCTCGTACCAGGCATTTAGTATGTTTATTGTTCTTGTCAAAACTTTGCTTACAGTTATAATAGTCTGCTGGCCAAACAGTGCTTTATGGGTTTTTCTCCCACAACTTCTTCTATTGTAGTAAAATATGTAGAACAGAATTTACCATCTTATGACAGTTTTTATTTAGTTTTTTAAAGATTTATTTGAGAGAAAGAGCATGAGAGAGCAAGGGCAGGTGGGGGCAGAGGCAGAGGGAGAAGGAGGCTCCCTGCTGAACTTGATCCCGGGACTCTGGGATCTCGACCTGAGCTGAAAGCAGGCAGACACTGAACCAACTTAGCCACCCAGGGGCCCCATATGATGGTTTATTTTTGAAAGAAAAGGGCAGGGAATCAAACTGGATGATATATTGGTGTGCAGTGGGCTCTTCTAGCTTTATCCGGGTTTGAGAATTTGCAAAATAAAATCGGGAGATAGGAGGTCCCCATTGGGGCAGAGTCCTGAGCATTTCCCTGGTTCCTGGCCCTACAGAATGTCTGCAGGACTTGGCTGTCCCTTGTCTTTGTGGCCCACCAGCATCCCACCCAGAATGGAGCCCTTGCTGCCTGATCTGGTTGGGCCCTCCCGCATTTACACTGTCATTCAAGACAGGGCTTGGTGGGGGGGCATTTTTACATACGTGCTAACTGAGCCCAGAGAGAACACAGGGCTCCGGGCAGCAAGGAAAAGACGAAGCCCAGGTCTGCCACTTTCTCTCTGTGGGTGGGGTGGGCTTGGTATTTACCCTAATTCTCCCAACTTCCTTTGTACACCTTCTAACTCTCCCGGCCTTCCCCATTCCCAGCCCCAATCTCTCTGCCCTGTCGCCTGAGTTACGACATTCCCAGCCTCAGTAATGTCCCTGCCTGGGGGCTCTGGGCCAACCCTCTTCCTTCAGTGGGGTCACATTTCCTGGGAGTCACTCCTGGAGATGGCTAAGTACCAGGGGGCAGGAGGTGGGGGTGGGGGCCTCCATGGACCCACACTGTTTGGGCGCTGTTCTAGCCTAATCTCTCCACCCCAGAGCCTGGGTATTGTCCGACCAGCAGCCCAGGGCCATTCATCGTGCCTGTGGCGGTGGTTCTGACAGGTCTCTTGTCTCCTTACATAGGGCCTGGAGGCTGTGAGTGAGTGATAGCCACTGCGGTCCCTGGGCTCATTGTCTTTGTCGATGGGGGGGGTCATGGGAACAGCCAGCGGTGTGCTCATCCTGGGGCATGGCCTTGCCCTGTCTCCTCAGCTAAGTTGTCCACAGTCCGAGTGTAGGAATTTGGAAAGAGGAGCTGGCAGCTGGGACACTTTCACCTTGGGGTTGCCACAAGCCCAACAGAATTGGAACTTGGCCATCAGCCAACTTTTTTGTGACCTGGGCCAGTCTCTGTGCCCTGTGTCTTCTCACAGAGAATGTAGAGAATCACACCCTGTTCTCAGGGACATAAAGGGTGGCTATGAGGCGAGACGTGTGAGTGTCAGGGTTGGGGGAGCCCCACAACCTGACCCAGTTGTCATTTTTCTCTGGTGGCACTGGCCTCCTGCCCTGTAGGTAAAAGAAGAGCCCCTTCCGCTCCCCTGAGCCCTGCACACCTTGGTTCCTGAGAAACCGATGTGCCCAGAACCAGCCTGCCTCCCTTCTTGCCCACTCCAGCCCCTCCTCCACTCAGCGGGCAGAGTGAACTCTGTAAAATTTCCATCTGCTCCTGTCCCTCCCCCGCTCAAAACCTCTTTTTGGCTCCCTGGTGCTCCAGGAGGAAATCCAAGGTCTGCATGTGGCTAACATGATCTGTCTCTGTGCCTCTTCCCCCATCACACTCCATAGCCCAGCCTGTAGCCAGAGGGAACCTCTGTCTGTTCACACCCCAGGGCCTTTACACGGGCTGTTCCTTTGTCCAGGCATAGGCAGGAGTCCTCCTCCAAGTCTTTTGTGGCTCATTTCTACCTATCTTTCAGGTCTCAGCTTAGACCTTCTAGGATACCTTCCCTGCCCCCAATATTAAACTGTTTCAGGAACCCCAGATCCCTGTAAATGCTGGGAAATTGTCTGCCTCACTCTACTGCCCCCACCCGAGCCACCGCCCCCCCCAGCGCCAGGGACAGGGCCTGACAGAGTGAGTACTTGTGTTTATTGAAGGACTGAAGGAATGATCTAACAGATCTAGGCATACGCAGACAGATACCTTGTGACTCTAAGATTGGGGTGCGTGTGCCTGGGGAGTTGGTATGGGGGGTGATGGGAAGAGGATTCTGCTTAGTGGACCCTCACACCTGCCACCCACAGGCCATAATCACCAACACTGATTATGGCCCCAGGATACTGAAGCAACTACTTCTTGCCAAGCTGTTTCCAGCCATTCTCATCTCTTCCTAGTCCTGTCCCCACCTGTCCCCACACATCCCCACATGTCCTTACCTGTCACTAGGGCAGC